AATTGATCTCAAGCAATGTCTGAACAACGTTCAGATTTTAGTCAGACTTTGAATGGCAAATAGACAAATGTGCAATAAAGAGATTTAGGAAATAGAGAATGTACACACAGATGTATAGTGGTTCGGCTTATAGCAAGCCTACGTCCACTTTTCCACGCCGACAGCTTACTAGCAGGATTCCACTAGATAATCGATCAAGAGACTACAAGTCATGAGTGATGTTCAGAAGGACCACTCTATCTCTCTTACAACAAGTCTCTCAAGATCACAATTTTAAACTCGAGAAGGATAAGTAATAAACCGGTCAGAGTTTGCTCAAACTTTGGAATTTATAATTCTAGATTTCGTCTCTCTATCGCTACTCTTCGACAATTTGTCTTCTTTTATATCCTCCACTTCCAAACTAGCCGTTGGACAGTCTTTAGAGGATCATCTTCCAATCTTCATCTTGAACAGATTATTATAGAAAGGATTGAGTAGCGGTTGAGTGATAAAATCAGAATCTTGCTAAATCTGATTGCCTATATAACCAGAGATTTGGTTTCCATAAGTAGAGCTTCTCCATTTTAGAAATAAACTTGTCGTGAGATTTAATTGTCAATCAATTGAGGATATCTTACTATATAAATATTCCTTGCAAAATAACCTTTTAAGATCAAATCAATCAATTCGTTCCATTGGTGAAATCTAAACCAGATCACTAATCGTTGTTTACATTCTAAGTAAGCGATAAAGTATGGATAAAGTCCTTGCGCTCAGAACTTGACATCAAGGTGGTTTGTTCGGTAGATTTTGAATATGTTGATTCCAGTATATAAACTGAGGTACTTCAACTTCTTTGTATGATATTTAAACTCTGTCTTTTGCGATGTAGAACTTGGATTTCTTCTTAAAGTCTGGACTTCCAGAACGTAATTGCCTGGACTTAGAATACTTCAAAAGTATATGTCAGACTTTACTCAAGGATAGTTTTGTTATCTTCAAAATCTATTATAAAGGTTTCTCAACAAAAGATCCATCCATTGACAAATCTATTGCTCAATATACTACCATGGTCACGTCACAAGGCCATGTGACAAAGCAACCAAAATTCTCCCCTTGGCAAGGTCTCCACCTACAAAGCCAGTGACTCAACCCAAAAGAAATTTTAAACCGGTATGGATACCCCAAAACCCCTACCCGGGTTCATAGCCATATTAAGCATCAAACAATCATCCTCCAATACCAAAATTCCACATCAATATCACCATTTAATTTCAAAAAAAAAACGCATAATCTTTCTCAATTTCGTTCATCAAACAAAATACATTTCTCAAACCATTTCAAAATTCATTCATAAACCACATTCCCGAATAAATACGTATTACCTCTCGAAATGTCTTTCATTAAACCTTTCTCAAATCATTTTAGAACTTATTCCATAAACCAGTTCGCAACGCAATACATATACCTAAACTTTCACACTACCTTGCAAAACTCGTTTTCTAAAACATCTGTAAATAAACAACAAGTAGTAAATACTTGATCCGGCTTTTTATGCAACAACCATGCCATCTCATGACTTAGACTCTATATAATCTATATCACTTTCGAAATGTGTGCTTACAAACTCAAAGTAGAGATAGTACCACTCACCTGGGAATATTCAAAATCAAACAACATGTAGCTAAACGAGCCGACGATCTTGTAATCCTAACAAGTAAACGAGAAACAAGTCAAAACCAAATAAAATACTATAACAACTACAAATTCACTAAACAATGCTTAAATTCTAACAAAACAACTTATACGCGTCAACAAATCACACACCCCAAAGCGACTATTCAAGCCATTCGCAATGCAGAACTCGTATGCGAAACCCTAAAATTCTCACTCCAACTAAATTATTGATTCAAATCGACCCCCGTCAAAACTCATGGCTCTACAATGCCATAAACCACCATTTCCATAACATTCCATAGCTCAACAACTCAAAAATAGGATTTCGCGACTCAAATCTCACATAATTCCGAATTTAAGCTCTAACCCCGAAAACTACTCCGATTGAAAGAGAAAAGAAATGACAAGTTCAGCATAAAGGGCCAAGAGCTCGCGTGGCACTGGGGAAAGAAAAGAGAGAAAGGGAAAAGAAAAAGAAAGAAGGGAAGAAGAAGAAGAAAGAGGAGGGGTTCTTGCCATGGACACCTCGCCAAGCCGATTTAACTTCATATCGCAACGCTCGGTAAGTTCTCGCGCCCCTCGTTCATTCAATCAGAGCATTTTTCGGAATTAGGGCTTATATTCGAAGTTTTGTGAAGTTCGAGCTGCGAAGTCCGATGTCTAAGTTGTTGAGCTACGTATATATATAGAAATGATAGTTTAGAGTATTGTGGAGCCGTGACATTTTACAGATTTCGATTTAGACTTACTATTTGTCCTAAATAAAATTTTGAAATTGGCCGCCATAGTTCAACGGTATGCTAGTGAGCATATTTAAGAACCGGCCTACCCTCTTTTTCCTTTTTCTCTTTGACTTTTGAACTTTCTTTTCTTTTCTTTTCCTTTTCTTGTGAGTCCCCACCACAATCTTTTTGACTTGGTCAAAAAAAATATAAATATTACATCCGCCACACCAAATAAAGGGTCGATTCTTTTTCATCAGAGTGAATCATTTTGATCATGTTGAATTCTATTATACGGGGATGTCAATTTCCAGTGAGGGCTTTGCGCCGTTCTCTCTCTGAGGCATCTTTCTTGCATTCCAACCACCAGTCAATTGAGTATTACATAGAAGCCGTTAGTTGTCAGCTTAGCTGGCAATGGTCCAAGAGAGAAGTTTATTTGAGGGTTAATTCCTTGAAAAATTTCAAATTAGTATATTTGTAATAAATTTACCTTAAATTTTTTTTTAGACCACCACAAACTCCAAATCGGTGCACCTGTGACAAATTTACTTCAAACTAATTTTTTTACTGTCAAATTGCTTTGTTAAATGACACACGGTAACTAACGGATGTATCAATTTTGCACTTTACACTCCGTTTGTCACAGGTGTACTGATTTGTGATATTAATCCAATTTAACGGAAACTAACGGAAGGTAAATTTATCACAAATGTACCAGTTTGGGGTTTTTTGTGATCAAAAAATTAGTTTAAGATAAATTCATCGTAGGTATAATAGTTTGGAGTTTTGGTGGTCTAAAGATTAGTTTTGAGTAAATTGATTACAGGTGTACGAGTTTGAGATTTTTCATGATATTAACCCTTTATTTTATTATCTGTTTTTGTATGGTTAAGTCAGGTTTTCGCTCTCTTGCGGTGCATCCATTCACAAACATCCCCAAAACAGCAGTACGAAATGATAATCATCGGACAAAAAGACCATCTCATTGCCATTACACAATTGAGAATTTGCTTCAGTCGTTCCTTTTTTGATCCTTTTTTTAAAGTTGTCCAAAAAGTCATAAACTTGTTAAACTTTTGCCAATTCAGTCATAAACTTTTGAATTGTGCCAATTGAGTCATAAACCTTTTCAAGTTTTGTCAATTAAGTCCATTCGAGCAATTAAATAAATTTGAAAAATATTAAAATACTATTAAAAATTATCCACATTAACGCCAATCGTGTCACATAGGACGGTTGACATCTACGTCAGCGAATTCCGACAAAAATTGACCAGATGGACTCAATTGGCAAAACGTGAAAAGGTTTATGACTCAATTGGCACAATTAAAATATTTAAGACCGGATTTAATATGTTCAGAACTTTTTGGACACTTTTTCCAAGGTATATCCATGAGCATAACAAGATAGGAAATATATGGAGACTATCTATGAAGCCGGTATGCCAAATATACAACAAGTTATTATTTAATATGTAAAGTTAATATACTAAATAAGTTGGCAAACTGTATTGCAATTAATCTTTAGTCGGCAAGATAAATTTCATTTTGATAATATAGGGGCACGACTGTAAGTCGGCAAGATATTGTTCGTCCATTTCCAAATGAAGGAAAAAAAAAAAAGCAAGCATTAGATGATCCTTCTAAAAAAACTTGGATAATGTTCAACATTTTTAATAGGTCCGTATTATTACTAGAGATTATGTCCGTTGTCAGTGTAAAGAATCTTCTACACATTCTCCGTTGGATAGGGCAACACGTGTAAAAATTCTTACGCCGATAGTGGACTTGATGTTTATCCGTGTATTTTCATACACATGTACCGCAGAATCAGGAGAGACCTGATGTTCGAACTCTTGATAAGTATGTTTTGGCAAGACATTACCAAACAGTGCTAATATTTTCACCCCATTTATTAGCCACTTACTAAAAGAATACTTTTGTGACATTTACAACATTTGTAATAGGCACGCTCGAACAATTTAGAGATGTACCTTGCTTAATTACGATCGGCACATTGTATCCACTTCTTTATTTTGTAGAAGGGCTTCTTCGCCCCCTTTTTTTTTCACCGCTCGGACAAATTGAATCTAAAACCAAGTATACTCCTCCGGATGGACCGACATACAAAATTGTCAATGTCATTTTTCATCGTATCTTTCATGTAATGGTGATCGACGTAGCTCACGGTGTAAAACCCAGCTTATAAAGTAAATTTTCTTTGTTTTTTTTTTTTCTCTCGCTCCTCTCTTTCATGTATATATATGTATACGGTAGCATTCACGGGAATCCAACCCCGGACCTAGCCTTCCGACCCCACCTCCTAATGCCGTTGGCTAATTTCCTTTGCTTACTCTATGCTGGGAAGGCTCAAAATAGATAGGATAGGACCCGCCCGCTCTCCTTTTTTGACCGGGTCGCCTAAATTTTCTCTAGGATCCCACTTGTAATGATGGAGCTTCAACCCAACCACACTTTCTTTCAGCTCTCTGTCACTCGCTCACTCACTCACTCTTGTCACCAGACCAGATCCAAGGAGCCCTTCCAAGCTTTTATATAACTCTTACCCCCCACAAGTTCATTCCCACCCAACTCCTTCCTTTTCCTCCTCCTCCTCCTCCTCCTCCTCCTTCTCCATTGCCATTGTCTAAGACCAGCTCAAGCACACAGTGTCCAAGAGTGTGAAGAAGGGTCCCCCAAGAGAGAGAAAATGTTGGCTCAGATTGCCATCACCATTGTGATCGCGTCGTCGATGCGACCGACAGGGGATGTGGTAAGGCAGGAGGATCTCAAACCTGGAGATCACATCTATACTTATCGGCTGTATGGCCTGTACACCCATCATGGTTAGTGATTCATCCTCCTCTTCTCCCTTTTCTCATCATCGTTATCGTTTTTCTTGAACATGGGTATCTTTACATGTGGCTCCACTAAATTATCCTTTCTTATCTTTCGTTTTTTGGCCCAACAACAGTAGTTGCATAGCTTCAGAGATAAAGCGTCTACAAAGCTGTCCGGGTGTTCGACGAAATGCATGAGAGAGAGAGAGAGAGAGAGAGACTCTGACCGAGCTGTGCTTCATTTCTTTCTTTCCGGTCGCCCGTCCATTTCCAGCTTCGCCGTTATATTTCTCAGCAGTTCCAGCTTCGACCTTCTCCATCTCCAGCGAATCTCCACCTTCGAGTCTTCGTCTCGGCCTGTCCACTCCGCTACTTTGTTGGTGTCGACGAGGTGTTCGACAAAATGCCAGAAAGACGGTAAGATTGAAGTTCTCCTCCAGTCCACAGCGCCACCGTTCCTTCTGGTAGCTGTTCATGATCCAGGTTTACGAGCGCATCAACCCAGCATCTTCCCCCTTGCTGCCGACTACGATCCATCACGCTGCACATAGATCCGACAACAGTGGTACGAACGCAGCGTGGGAAAAAGCAAGTGTCCCAAAATCCTCATCATCGGGAAACAAGCTTGTCCCTGTTCCTCCCCCTGAGGCTTTAGTCGATGGTAAATCACATTTTGAAAATTGTCTTGTTGGATATTTGCTTGCTGTCAATGCATCATTCTACTAAGCGAAAGGTATTGCAGAGAAACTGTGGTGATTCTACGGCAACTATTTACTACAGGTGGAATGATTTGGAAAATCGTTTCTTTTTTCTATATTGCACGCTCATTATTGATTATAACAGGAATCTATGTTGGAGAGGGCCACGTGATTCACCTCACACGAACAGGAGTTGACAAGACGAGTCTCGATCGCTTCCAGCAAGAAGGCAAGAACCTCTATTCCCTCCGCTTGTATGCATATGGGCGGCCACAACTTGGGTATTGGCTAACAAGATGGGGGACTTGCACCACCTTACCCGTAACCAAATCGTCCCAGGAAGTCGTGAACAAGGCTCGCGAGCTTCATGAGCATGACAGCTTCGGCGTGTACGACCTCATCAATAACAACTGTGAGCATTTCGCCTCGTTTTGCCGGACCGACATACGGGCAAGCGCACAGACAGCATTGGTCAGTGCTTGCGGGCAGAAGATCAGTGAAGTCAAAGAATGGTTCATGAAGTTTCTGCAGACGAAGTAAGTTCGAGTGACTCAGAAATTCCACTAATCTTCCCTTCCCTACCTGTCTCTTTACTAGCAATTATATTACCTGTTTCAGAGTTATTGTCTGTCATTTAGCAGTAAAAGGAATGAAACTTTAGTTTTGTCTATCCAGTTTTGGACTGGAATGGGCAGCGAGAGGCATGCACACGTGCACGGAGGAAGAACTGAGATAAGAAAATGTATGTAAGCCGCAAAACTATGGTCGTGTTTATTTAATGTGCCCGGAAATATGTAAGAACTTCTTCTGTCTGTTGGTGCTCGGTCCTCCTAAGTAGACTTCCCAAAAGAAGACAGCATCTAATTCCTGAATGAATTTCTCGCATTCAAATCACTTCATTTTGGTGCATATTGGATACATTCTTTTGGCATTCGAGAAACAATTGGAGGAACGAGATGACAGTGAAATCACACTAGACTATTAAAAAGAGTTTGTTCCACGAGTACACAATTTTTTCCTTCGCGGCGACCTCTCTCTACACAATTTGCCATTTATTTTGTTGCTCTTTTTCGGCCATCATTGTCATTTACTTGAAGCATGAAATAAACTACCTTGTTTTTCTTCAGGGGATCTCTCTCTCTCTCTCTCTTGACAACAGGGTTCAAATTAAATAACATTAATTGGGTGGCCACATACAGCAGAGGGTATAAGTCAGATTGGTGTTGACGTGATCTCTCCCTCCATCTCCAGCGAAACTCCATCTTAGACTCTTCATCTCGGCCTGTCCACTCCAATACTTCGTTGGTGTTGACGAGGTGTTCAACAAAAATGCCAGAAAGAGGGTAAGATTGAAGTTCCCCTCCAGTCCACAGCGGCACCATTCCTTCTGGTAGCTGTTCGTAGTCCAGGTTTACAAGCGCATCAACCCGGCATCTTCCCCCTGCTGCCGACAACGACCAGTCGCGCTGGACATAGATCCGACAACGATGGTTCGAACGCGGCATGGGAAAGCAAGCGTCCCAAAATCCTATGCGGAAAAGCTTACCAACTTGTTTATTCCCATAATCCGGACGTATCTTCAAGAGCCACACTGGAGCCAGAAGAAGGAGCTGCTGGATCAAGGAAAGCACCGACCACGTACATAACCATGAGACATCTGGCCACAACATAAGGAATAATTCCAATTGCGATGGTTTTGGACAGTACGACATATGTACCGCAAGCAAGGGCTAGCACCATTGCACTATGGCGACAAAAATGCTATGTCCTGTGATGTCGGTGTACCTTATCCATTGGCCGCTCAAGAAAGATGCATCGAATCGAAAGAATAGTGCCATGATCAAGAAACGAACTCAGCAGTATTAAATATCATAAAGGCTTTGAAAGCTGACCTGCCTGCAAGAGTGGCCATTCCTCGGTCAGGTCCGTCGTTGTTGTAGCCTCCAGGCATTGTGAAGGCTGCAGCAAATGAGACGGTGGCTATGAGCACTGCCACTAATAGATGGAAGTCAATGAAGCTTCTTTTCGACAAATCAAAGTTTCCTCGGTCAGGGGTATTACTTCCATGGCTGATTGACCCTCAACCAAGCGTCTGTCTAGCCTCTTCTTGATATCATCCATCACCCAGTCTTGCATACATGGGATTGATTCCAAATTTCCCTTTCAGCACATATTCAACTTTTGCAGCTTTGCAACCAACCTAGATGTACGGAACGGAATGATTAATGAGCTATCTCTTCACTTCACACACAAATACCATCTATCGCATAGCTTAAATGCCAACGAATTTTGTTCTATACCGTTACAGAGAAGTCATTCAGTTCATCTCTTTTAACTAAGATAGCTGATAGCCAAAACCTCCAAATTAAGTTCCATCAAGTTAAGAAGTACAACTTTAAGCGCACTCCATCTAAATGAAGCTATCGAGAAACGGTCTGAAGTTCTTTTCTGAGAAAGGCATAAGAAAGGTTCTCTCTTCTACCTCATACTATTTAAAAGGAGGGAAAAAAAATGATACAAAAGGATGTTAGTTATTATGTGTAAAATGTTTGCTCCTTCATTCCGATAATCTGGCAGAACAGTTGTTCCAAAGGAAAAGGGCGCATTGTAAGATAAGTCAAGCAGGCAGTCACTTTTTTGAACACAAAGCCACATGTATGTCAAGGGCAGTCGAATGGTCCTTATTCGTGACCAAACTGTCCACTCTTGTCTCGTGCAAGTGTGAAAATGCCGTGCTGCTATCCTTGTCTTGTTCGTTTGTAAGTTCCTCCGGATGAGGCATTCATTATATGTAATTGACCACATTTACTCTTCCGCCTATAACAGCAGCATGAAGAGCTGTTTCCCCTTTGTTGTTGATTATATCCCAAGCATCGGGACAAAATCTAACCGGCTCATCAACGACATTGACGAGGCCTTGGAATGCTGCAATATGAAGAGGGGATTCTCCATCTTTGTCTAAGAGGTATGCTGCAGAGTTATCATGTCGCAGGAACCGGAACTGCTTCAACTCCGCCAAAGCAAGCAGGATAATGAAGACGAGTCCACCCAATCTCATCTCCTTCTCTTATCATTCTTGGCCTCCTCATCCATGATTATGTCCAAGCAACCTCAGCCAGTGCAATATTATGAGAGTCACGAGAACAATTAAGACAGTTATCAATTATCAGCACCCTCAGAATGAATATTGATATGTAAAATGCATTTTTCGTTGACATCATCCTTTAATCGTTACACGAGGGAAAATATGGCATGGTTATCCTAAAGTTTCTCCGCTAATGTTGCAGAATACACCACAGAAACAAACTAACTTCCATCCAGTAGAATGTAGAATTCACAAAGTCAATCGAGAAGGATCGAGAAGAAGCTTCCTCTTCCTTTCAGTAAGTCGTCTGCCCTGCTTACGCCGGAATAAAAGGTCAAGCATTTTCATCAGATTGGATCAATTTAGAAAGATCATGTCCATTTCTATTTGGTGAAGATGTCAATGTCTACGGAGGGGTTTTGCACCGCAGTTGGTGTTAATTCTCTTCTCTGAGGCATGTTTCTTTGCATTCGAAACAATCGGGTAATGAGTTTTTCATGGAAGTAGTTCGCTGTCAACTTAGCCGGCAATAGTTCTATAAAGCCGAGAGGGAAATTGATTCCATTATCCGCTTTCGTGTGGTTAAGTCAGGTTTTTGGCTTTCTTGCAGTGTATCCATCCACAAACAATCCCAAAGCAGCAGCACGAAACAATAAAGTACTATTAGACCAAATAAAAAAAGTTATTTCATTTCCATTACACAATCGATTTCCTTTCCCAATTCTATAGACGGCAAGAGATCAAGGGAAGACCAGCTCTGATCTTAGGTTCACTCGAAACATTCGGACAGTTTGGCTGCGCAGCTTTCTTAGGCTGCGCATGACAACTTGCCAAACAGTGTTTGATTCTGCTCTTTTGTTCCCAGAATCAGTTTGGGAACAGAAATGCGTTTGTTTAATTTTTTGATTATGGGCACAATTTTGTCAAAAATTGTTCCCAGAATCAGTTTTGGAGCAGAATCAAGAATCAAAAAAAAGTAGCTTCTTGATTCTGGGAACAATTTTGAGAATCAATTTTTTTTTCTTCTTCCTTTTCTTGGTTTTTAATTTAGCTTCTAATGTCCGGCCCGAGGACCTCCCTCGCCGGATCTGACGAGAATAAAATATTTTAATAAAAAATATTTTTAATAAAAAATATTTTACCGGCCATGGCCGGCGACCAGGCCATGGCCATAAAAAAGAAAAAAAATATTTTTAATAGAAATATTTTAATAAAAAATATTATTAATAAAAAAAATATTTTACCTGCCATGGCCGGTGACCAGGCCATGGCAAAAAAAGAAAAAATATATATTTTTAATAAAAAAATTTTAATAAAAAAAATTATTAATAAAAAAAATATTTTACCGGTCATGGCCAGCGACCAGGCCATGGCCAAAAAAAATAAAATAGTATATTTTTAATAAAAAAATATTAATAAAAAAAATATTTTACAAGCCATGGCCGGCGATCAGGCCATGGCCAAAAAAAAGAAAAAATATATATTTTTAATAAAAAAAAATATTTTACCAGCCATGGCCGGCGACCAGGCCATGCCCAAAAAAAATAAAAATATATATTTTTAATAAAAATATTTTAATAAAAAATATTATTAATAAAAAAAATATTTTACTGGCCATGGCTGGCGACCAGGCCATGGCCCAAAAAAATAAAAATGTATATTTTTAATAAAAAATATTATTAATAAAAAAATATTTTACGGCCATGGCCAGCAATGTGAACCATGGCCAAAAAAATAAAAATATATATTTTTAATAAAAATATTATTAATAAAAAAATATTTTACTCGATCATGGCCTCTGTAGGCCATGGGCAAAAAAGAAAAAAAAATACTTTTAATAAAAATATTATTAATAAAAAATATTTTCCCTATGGCATGGTGAAGCAGGCTATGGCAAGAAGGAGGAAAAGAAAAAAAAAGAAATATTAAAATATTTAAAAATATTATTAATAAAAAGAAATTTTGTAGCGTTACAAAACGCATTTACATTCTTTTCTATTCCAGGGGATGGAATTTTGATCCGTTAACAAACGCCTTAAAATCTTCGGAATCAATTCCGGCAAATAAAAAGAATCATTTCGAGCGAGAATACTGTTCCGCATTACGAATCGTTGTCATGCGAAGCCTTAACCACCAACACGAAGCTGACTGGCTTTTCTCTTAAGGCCCTACGAATCAAACTATCTATAGAACCTTAGAAACGTACATCCTCTGGAAATCTTTGGTCGCTACAATTAAACTTCCAAAGCTTTAGACCTAGACAGCTACCACAGAAACAAGCCACTTCCAGGCATGCTGCTAGCCTGATAGAAAGCAATTTTCAAGCCACGGTTTTCTCAAAGCCTACATGATTCAAAGTAAACAGCCAGAGACCCTTAAAAAATATATCGTCCTTGGCCTTTAATTCCAAATGCATTCTTAAAAGCTCTCAAAGCTCTTTCTTATATCGTCTAAGAGATGGTCTGAGGCCTCATGCGGACCTCAGCATCCGTCGAGACGTTAAACACTTAAAAGGGTATTCTCTCCTCTTGGGAAAACAAAGATATAGGAGGAATTAGGGAAACTAGGCATGCCGGCACCAGCTTGTAAAAATAGAAAATACAGTATCGTCAGTCTACCAAGTGTATATACCTAGATAGGCGGGGCCAGACAAAGATGATCTGATTTAAGATAAGCTTTTTCTTTCGTCATGGCGACAGTTCTAATAGAAAGCTGTCTTGATCAACACCCGAACCACCTGTTTTAATTAAATAAAGATGCAGAGCTGAGCCTAGGAATCGTCATCAGGCACGCACCGGTGTGGTCAAAA